AGTCTTCTCATTTTATGGACTGCAAACCTTGATATGCCATTCAAAAGTTCATTTTACCCCTAGTCTGACCAAGGCTGCATAACCTTATATTAATACCTTTCCTGCTTGGAGGACTACTCCGTTGTTTGTACATTTGAGGAAGAGGCAGTGTGTGCCATCTCTCTTGCTGGAAAGGGACATACACACTTTCTTATTCACACAAGCCCCTCCCTCCCCCTTCCTTGAAATAGATAGAAGCACAGATTTCAATTAATGTCACATCCTCATATTTTGAATTTTCTTCCTGTAATGATATATAGATTATTTTATGTCCTTCAAAACATCCACGGTTAACGATTTCCATTCTGAAGAAGGAATAGAATCACCACCAGAAGTCTCTAAAGCCTACTCTGATCTAGCTGGTACAGTATTAATGTTTAAGTCCTTTTTTCTTTATTCTGAATTGCAAATTAAATGTTTGCTATGCCTGGAAGGGCAGTATGAGGCCACCATGTTTTATATTAATTTATTTCCAACTAGAGGAAAGAATATTTTGGGGGCTGCTCTTACTTCATTCAGCCTGTGTTTAAAGGGCCTAAAGGCTAGAGATAATGGAAACTGAAGCCTGACACATTCAGATGGCATCAGATTGGGGAGGGTTCGCTTAAGCCATCATGGGAATATCCACTGCATTCAAAAATCTGCCATATTATTATGCCTCCTTTTTAAAATTAAAATAAACAATAAATAAGATTTTTTAAACAATATCAGTGCTATTAATTTGTCCATAGCAATATAAATATTCTTTTACTAGGTTAAGTAAACTCTGAATATTTGTATCTTTCATCTTTCCCCAAATTTTTGGGGCTTCCTTGCAGCCATTATTTGTTTTTCATATCAATAATACAATTTTATACAGAATTTAAAACAAAAAGTTCTCATTATCTTACCAGATTCATTGATATTTCTTCCTTTGATGAAATTATTACTAGGAATATTTAGTGCTAGCAGAATAGTAGGATACTTATGATCAAAACCATACCAAATTCTGAACAGCCAAGCGCTTTCTGCTTTGGTTGTGCTTTTATCCAAGTTATTTACAACCTGCAATAATATTGAAAATTATAATGATGATTGTGATAATTATGTTTTTTTCAATTAAAAATGTACACATTTTACCAACAAATAAATATATACAGTATATATATATAGCCTAAAAGTACACATTTAAAGGTTCACAAATCAGTTAATCTAACAATTGTTGTTCAGTTGCTAAGTCATGTTCAATTCTTTGTCATCCCATGGACTGTGGCAGGCCAGGCTCCTCTGTCCTCCACCATTTCCTGGAGTTCAGGATCATTGCATGGATGACTTTATCTAACCATCTCATCTTCTACCGTCCCATTCTCCTTTTGCCTTTAATCTTTCCTCACAATACTCAGATACAATTTAAAATACACCTAGATTATTAATACAACTACCTATCTTTTTTAACCTTTATCTTGTATTGATCTTCACTAATGGAATTCAAAATTATTTACACTGTGTTTTGGATTTTTTTCCACCTAGGCAGTAACCAAATTAGTTTAGCTTCAGCAACATGACTGCTCAATATAGATCTAAATCACACAGCTTTTCTGTTCAAGCTCTCTTAAATATACTCCTTTTCTGTTACCATTGATTTTCACTTCCTGGGTGCTTGCAAACTCCTATCTCTGAGTTACACCTGGTGTGGCCTCTGGCAATGCTAATCATGGATATGTGATCTATGCTAAGTTTCATATTCTCTCCTATGATTGTAGGAAGAAGATAGGGTGTTTTTTTTGGAATAAATTAGCTTCTAAATTTGCTGTGTTGTATTTTTATTCTACACTTATTGATAGCATAGATTATCCAACTGAGTAAGTTTCCACATTTTTCATCTTGCTGTGAGCCAATGTGCATGTCCATTATATCATCTTTGCACTGTAAAGTTAATTTCATCTTGTTAATGTCATTTAATCTTATTTAATTTATACAGATGACAATTATTACTATATTGTGGACAGTTTTCTAAATATTTTGGGAATAGTTGTGCCGTGCGCAACAAATGCACAATAATTGATTTTGATTTTATTGTTTTTCTTTTGGATTAAAATGATAGCGTCCTCTGTATTTTAACCCAAACTATTAATGGATGTTTTATGTTATATTTTTTACAGAAATTAAATCTGCTCCAATATATTTACAATGTAAACTAATAAAGGAGATACTTTTTTCTACCTTATGTGGCATAAAGCAAATAACATAGTTTGACAGATTTTTATGTACAGGTATAGCATAGGGGGTATCTTGCTCAATAGTAATAACTGTGAGAGGGATCTCGGAGTCCTAGTGGACAATCTCTTAAATATGAGCCAGCAGTGTGCTGCAGCTGGCAAAAAAGCCAACACAGTGCTAGGCTGCATTAACAGAGGGATAGAATCAAGATCACGTGAAGTATTAATACCACTTTACAATGCCTTGGTAAGGCCACACTTGGAATACTGCATCCAGTTTTGGTCACCACGATGTAAAAAAGATGCTGACACTCTAGAAAGAGTATAGAGAAGAGCAACAAAACAGATGATTAGGGGACTGGAGGCTAAAACATATAAGGAACGGTTGCTGGAATTGGATATGTCTAGTTTAACGAAGAGAAGGACGATGGGGGACATGATAGTAGTGTTCCAATATCTCAGGGGCTGCCACAAAGAAGAGGGAGTCAAACTATTTTCCAAAGTGCCTGAAGGCAGGAAAAGAAGCAACAGGTGGAAACTGATCAAGGAGAGAAGCAACTTAGAACTAAGGAGAAACTTCCTGACAGTTAGAACAATTAACCAGTGGAACAACCTGCCTCCAGAAGCGGTGAATGTTCCAACACTGGAAGTTTTTAAGAAGAGACTGGACAGCCATTTGTCTGAAATGGTGTAGGGTTCCTGCCTGAGCAGGGGGTTGGACTCAATGACCTCCAAGGTCCCTTCCAACATTATTATTATTATTATTATTATTATTATTATTATTATTATTATTATTATTATTATTATTATTATTATTATTATTATTATTATTATTATTATTATTATTATTATTATTAACTATATCCAGTTGAAATGAATAATGATATTTAAGTCCTTAGCATAGCACTGACTTTCTAGAACGGAAAAAACCTCCAATGCTTATCTTTCCTTTTACTTTGAGGAGATCTCCAAGATCATATGAACCTTTTCATTATCTTTTCACAACAGATCATTTTTTGATCACACTTCTTTAGGATATATTTGAAAACAGGGGGGCAAAACATACAGCCTGCCAACATCTCTTCTATAGCCCCTGGAGTTCCTGTCAAATAAATGGGGTGTCTGAACTGCCACCTCATGCCTGCACTCTGCAATCATTTCTGTACCAGTCTGCCATGAACCCTGAGAAGAAGGAAGAGCAGTTGAGGGAAAAGTGAAATTAAAAAAGTGAAAGTGCCTACTCTAGATGACATTTCAAGGTCACACTGTGATGAGAAGAACAAAGCTGCAATCCAGCCTACAATCAGACTGGCCCTTTCCAAAACACTCTTTTTGAAATAGATTTTTCAATGGGGGTCCAGCAAGGGGAACTGGCTATGGAGGAAATGTTTTCACTTGGAGTTTTGGCATGCGAATTTCAGTTCAGGTTTTGCACTACTATATTTCACTTGGTTTCTATTAAACTATACTTTTTCAACCCAATGGTGCAAAGATAATTCTTATTTAGAGGGTTTTTTTGGTATCTCTGAAGGAAAGAAGAGTAGCCTCACAAATAAATAGAACCCGAATGTTTGTATTGGAATGGATGGTTGGGATAAACTGATAGGAATTTGCCAAGCGAAGTTAGGAATCTGGGTGGCAAAGTCTGGATTTGTAATCAAAAAGTCAGAACAGGGAATGGCAGGTGGGGGAGGGAGCAAAGAATTGGAGATTAGGAAGAGACAATGTATCTGCTACTAGACAGTTTGGAGCTAGTGAAGAAAGTTAGAATTAATAAACACCAAGGTTAAAAAATGAAACTGAATAATTAGGAAAAGGATAAAGAACTGTAAAAAAATACCTGAGAATGAAGGGATGGAGCAGACTTTTAGCCTTGTGTCATGGTTAGGAAGAAGAATTAAAGAGATTTTGAAAAGGGTGAAGAGATAAAGAAACAAAGAGACAAAGCTTTAAAGCAGGGGTGTCAAACTCAATTTCATTGAGGGTCACATCAGCATTGCAGTTGCCCTCAGGGGGCTGGGTGGGTATGGCCAGGGTGGGTGCGGCCTACTGGGTGGGCGTGGATGGAGTGGGTGTGGCCTACTGGGTGGGTGTGGCCAGCTGTACATCGTTCGCGTCAAGGGTGCCTGTGGGGCCTGGGCAGGAGTGGGATAGATCTGAGGGTCTCTGGAAGAAGGGGGTGGGACCAGGGCAAGTGCCAAGGCATGGTCCACTGGAGGAGCCTCACTGTTCCTCTCAGGCCATGCCGGGGGGGGGGGGGGGTNAAGAAGAGACTGGACAGCCATTTGTCTGAAATGGTGTAGGGTTCCTGCCTGAGCAGGGGGTTGGACTCAATGACCTCCAAGGTCCCTTCCAACTTTATTATTATTATTATTATTATTATTATTATTATTATTATTATTATTATTATTATTATTATTATTATTATTATTATTATTATTATTATTATTATTATTATTATTAACTATATCCAGTTGAAATGAATAATGATCTTTAAGTCCTTAGCATAGCACTGACTTTCTAGAAGGGAAAAAACCTCCAATGCTTATCTTTCCTTTTACTTTGAGGAGATCTCCAAGATCATATGAACCTTTTCATTATCTTTTCACAACAGATCATTTTTTGATCACACTTCTTTAGGATATATTTGAAAACAGTGGGGCAAGACATAGAGCCTGCCAACATCTCTTCTATAGCCCCTGGAGTTCCTGTCAAATAAATGGGGTGTCTGAACTGCCACCTCATGCCTGCACTCTGCAATCATTTCGGTACCAGTCTGCCATGAACCCTGAGAGGAAGGAAGAGCAGTTGAGGGGAAAGTGAAATTAAAAAAGTGAAAGTGCCTGCTCTAGATGGCATTTCAAGGTCACTCTGTGATGAGAAGAACAAAGCTGCAATCCAGCCTACAATCAGACTGGCCCTTTCCAAAACACTCTTCTTGAAATAGATTTTTCAATGGGGGTCCAGCAACGGGAAGTGGCTATGGAGGAAAAGTTTTGGCATGCGAATTTCAGTTCAGGTTTTGCACTACTATATTTCACTTGGCTTCTATTAAACTATACTTTTTCAACCCAATGGTGCAATGATAATTCTTATTTAGAGGTTTTTTTGGGATCTCTGAAGGAAAGAAGAGTAGCCTCACAAATAAATAGAACCCGAATGTTTGTATTGGAATGGATGGTTGGGATAAACTGATAGGAATTTGCCAAGCGAAGTTAGGAATCTGGGTGCCAAAGTCTGGATTTGTAATCAAAAAGTCAGAACAGGGAATGGCAGGTGGGGGAGGGAGCAAAGAGTTGGAGATTAGGAAAAGACAATGTATCTGCTACTAGACAGTTTGGAGCTAGTGAAGAAAGTTAGAATTAATAAACACCAAGGTTAAAAAATGAAACTGAATAATTAGGAAAAGGATAAAGAACTGTAAAAAAATACCTGAGAATGAAGGGATGGAGCAGACTTTTAGCCTTGTGTCATGGTTAGGAAAAAGAATTAAAGAGATTTTGAAAAGGGTGAAGAGAAAAAAAAACAAAGAGACAAAGCTTTAAAGCAGGGGTGTCAAACTCAATTTCATTGAGGGTCACATCAGCATTGCAGTTGCCCTCAGGAGGCCGGGTGGGTATGGCCAGGGTGGGTGCGGCCTACTGGGTGGGCGTGGATGGAGTGGGTGTGGCCTACTGGGTGTGGCCAGCTGTACATCGTTCGCGTCAAGGGTGCCTGTGGGGCCTGGGCAGGAGTGGGATAGATCTGAGGGTCTCTGGAAGAAGGGGGTGGGACCAGGGCAAGTGCCAAGGCATGGTCCACTGGAGGAGCCTCACTGTTCCTCTCAGGCCATGCCGGGGGGGGGGAGATTATGGAGCTAAGACTGAATGTGTTTCAGTATAGATGGCCACCACAAAATTGTACATTGGCTCCCGGCTGGCTTGGGCCAGGGCCAAGGCAGAGGGGGCCGTTCCCTCACTGTTTCCAGGATGGCTTCGCGGGCCACATGAAACCACTTCGCGGGCCGCATCCAGCCCCCGGGCCTTGTGTTTGACATGTCTGCTTTAAAGAAAGCAAGAATGCTTACAGTAAGCAGAAAACAAAAACGGAGAAAGTGCAAATCATTGTTCCCCGTAGCACCTTGGTCAGTGAAGGTTTCTTTCTCTGCTGCTAACAAGGAATAGGAAGTTTACAGGTACAAAGGAATAAGCTGGTTCAGATTGCAGTACTCAGCCAGTGGAGGAGAGAGAAGCTGACAATTTCAGCAACAGGGAAATTGCCCAGTAAATTATTTGAAGGAAGATTGAGGCTTACAAGAGCCAGAAGCAGCAGCATCTGTTTCAGATAGATGACAGAGATTCCATGCAGAAGAGGTTTAAATTACCTATTTCAGCACTGAAAAACATAGAAAACAAACAAATGAGCCCTGGCTCTACCTGCTTTTGAAATTGTATACTCCAGCTTTAAATGAAAACATACCTGCAATAATCTAGGTCTGCTGCAACCTTTCTCAATCAGGGATAGTGTCTAATTATACCACACACCTGTATTGAAATCAGGCTGGGAAACAATGTCCCGATGTTCAATGGTATGTAAAACAAAGGCTCTTACTATTAGGGCATTTTTAAAAATCTTCTGTATTTTGTTGAAGCAAGGGTGTAAACGGCGGTCAAGAAGATCCCTGGTATGTCAAAAAGAAATACTCAAGGGTAAAAGGGCACCAAATTTATGGTAAAATGAAAATCATTTCAAAACAGAGCACTGCTGAATTTGCAAATATTTGTGTTAATAAAATATGGTGTCCTGAAAAAGTTATAAAAATAACACTTGCAATAACACATTCAATGGACTAAGACAGTGATGGTGAACCTTTTAGAGACCGAGTGCCCAAACTTCAACCCAAAACCCACTTATGTATTGCTGGGTGCCGGGTGAGCATGGCCACCGGGTGGGTGTGGGCCGCCTGGTGGGCGTGGCTACAGTGGTCATGGCAGATGGTTGGACGTGGCCAGGGTGGGCATGGCCAGCTCGATGTTGCTCCTGGGAAGGGATGCCTGTGGGGGCCGGGCAGGGTTGGGGGAGATCCAGGGGTCTCTGGTGGGTGGGGAAGTGGGCAGGAAGCTGGTTCTGCAGGGTGCGAGGCAGGGTGGGGGTGCCATGTTGCAGGGCAAGGCGAGGCAGGGGCCGGGGCAGCTGCTGCCTGACACCATCGGCCCCTGCACACAAAGGCCAACAAGTGCATGGGTGCTGGGATGTATCCAGCCACATGGGACCTCAACAAGTTAGCGGGAGGCTGGTTAAAGAGGACGGTTGCCATCTCCGGGGTATGGCACGTGTGCCCACAGAGAGGGCTCCGAGTGCTGCCTCTGGCACACGTGCCATAGGTTCACCACCACTGGACTAAGACTTGCAGTTATTCTTAGAAACACATGAATATATTAAAATCAGTGGAAGGGCTTTTATACATTTGGTATATAACAGAATCCTGTGATTAGAACTGGGGTGTCAAACTTGCAACATCACGTGATGTGTCATGATGTATCGTGACTTGTTTGCCATTGCCGGCAATGGGGTGGGCGCGGTTTCGCTATAATGCATCCGGCGGGCCAGCAGTTTGACATCCCTGGATTAGAGACTTCATGAGAGCTCTTGAGGACATTGGCTATAATTGAAGACAGATGTTTATTCAGCTGTGGTTCACAGATCATAGATAGTCTCTGTACTGGGGCAATTAGTTGGGAATTAGAAAGCTTCCAATTGTTTTTAATAATGGCTTGCTCTATTGATCAAAGTAACAAATTGTGGTTAATATGAATTAATATTATCTGAAACAAATCAGCTTGAAATCTTGTTTCAGAGAAGCCTGAATTATTACTATCCATAATTTGTTGGTTCAGAGGATATGTCAAACAAAAACTTATATTGCTTTTACTCGAGTGTGTAGAAGTTCTGGAGGCAGAAAAACAAAGTATATGTCAGATTAAGATTTATTTATTCTTGTTTATATCACACTAAATTATGATGATTTCCCAATCTGGATAGTGAAATAAATTGCATTTATTATAAAATATATCATTTCAAGATGGTAGTCTGTCACAAAAGCTAATGGACAAGTGCAGTTAAGTTCTATGACTTACTATGAATTGTATTTGAAACAGGTGTGAGAAGGATTATGAATAGCTTCTCAATTGGAGGTTTTCCTGAGCATCTTAGAAAACACATTGTAAAATTTAAAGCATTCAGTGCCACACATATGAATATAAATTCCTTTTCAAATATTTATATTTAAATTTTAACTTGCCTCAGTAGCAGTTTCTATCCTTTGATCTTCATCTGTATCAATTCCAACCCTATGAAGAAAAGAAAGGAAGCAAAACTTAAATACAGGACAGGCAGAATTTAATTTACTTACATTCAATGTAATATTTAATAATATTTAATATTTAAAGTATTTAATATATACATAAAATAAGCAAAATGAAAAGATATGTAAAATGTCTAGTACATTTTAGTGGTCTATTCAGATAGACATTTAGTCATCTGTTTCCACATTAATATACTGTTGACAGTGATGGGGAAATACTTTTTGCAATGATATCTGGAAGCAAGTTGTTCTATACCTTGTGGACCATTCTCATTTGCAGTTTTTTTCCCTAATGAAATATAGTTCTGGTTTTATCACAATATGTGATAAAGCATGGGTGACTGGTTAAAGATATCTTGCTAAGTCTGAGCCAAAGTGACACAAGAAAGGATGCCATCCACATCACTCCTTCTTTTAATTGCCTTTCTTGACAGTGAAAACTTCAAAGATTAACTTTGAACTAATTAGAATCTTGTCTTATTATTCTTGACTTTTTTTGTGTGTGCCTATTTGTGATGGCCAAGCCTTTCTCTCCATTTTATAAACTCCTGCCAAAGATAAATCTCAGGGCAACCTTGGATTAATCCTTATGTGCAATTTTTTTTTATCCCCCAAGGATGAACTTTACATTGAAATTGTACTTGAAAGACTTCCTAGATAAGTTATTTTTTAACTAACCTTTGATATGGTAATCTCAGAGGCAGCCTTTCCAGCAAAGCAACCTCAAGTGTCTGAGAATCCATTGTTCTTATATCAGCATCCTCTGATTCAAAAAGCTCACTATTCAGATTTCCCCACACGCAAAGTACAATTTATGTATCATTTATTCTATGCGCTATGAATAAAGGAAGCTAACCAATAAGGATAAAAAATATTTAGCTATGATATCGTGGGACCTGTCTCTCAAGATATATGACAGGGTTAAAAGGTTACAATATTTATAGCTTTAGAGACAAGCATAACACAATGCATCTATTCCATTAGCTATGTGCAAGTAATTATCTTGTATGGCAAGGCATTAAAAGAGTAAAGGTTTCTCCTGTCCAGTTGTGCCCAACTCTAGGGGGCAATGGGCATCTCTGTTTCTTAGTCAAGGGAGCCAGCATTGTTTGAAGACATTTCTGTGGTCATGTGGCCAGCATGGCTTTATGTTGAGGTGCACAGAACTCTGTTACCTTCCTACTGAAGGGATATGTATTTATTTATTCTCATGTTCATGCTTTTGAACTACTAAGTTTGCAATATAAGTATTTCCTAAATAGTCATTAAGACTACTACTTGTCATTATGAAAATTGCTGAATTGTCATGACCCTATTTTGAAAGCTCCTTGACAGACATACTGAAGTTATGGCATTGTTTCTATACCTTGGAGAAAATGGTGAAGGCCTCAATTGGTACACTTTATTCCTATCGTATGTTATTTTTTGTTGTCAGGAAAACTTTCAGATTTTCATTTCTAAAGGTAACTATGAATTTTGAGTAATATTTAATTTTAGAGATTCATATTCAAATCTATCTTCATGTATGTAACCTCTCTGGGGGACTTTGGGCCAATCGCACGTTGTCATAATTAGGATAACTCAAGTATCCAGTTATTATTGTCTTTAATAGCATATATTTATAGCTTTTTACTAGTTGGTAGCTAATATAGCATTTTGTTCTATATTGTTGCCCATGCTTTTGACTTATTTTATCTGATGACAAAGACATAATTTGTTCTGATTATGAATGAAGGAGAATATTTGTAGTTCAGAGTTGAAATGAGGGGTCCTTGGTGCTCTCTGAGCTTGATTGGTGTCTTGCAGAGGTTTCATTACCCTAAATAGGTAACAGATAATGTTACCTAGTTTGAGTAATGAAACCTCTGCAAGAAAACAAGCAAGTTCAGAGAGCTTGGTGGACCCCTTGTTTTAATTATGGTTGAATGATGAAATAAGGACCTGGTATAGGATCCTTCTTAATAGTCTGATTTAAGGGTTTTGTTTTCAGAGGAAATTGACTTTGATAATGATGTCAGGGCTGAAGAAAAAAAAGGAAATTATTATTAAAATCTAGTTTTGATTTTTTGAACAAAAGTTTTAAAAGTTTGTGAAAATTTCTAACAATTTGTAAGTATCTAAAAAAAAAAGTACGAGTACTATTGGCCTAGTAAAACAAATTTCTCTTTTATGTCTATTTCTGAAAATTTATTAGATAGAATATTTTTTGAAGTATTTCTTAACACACTTTATACCTTTCATCATTTAGTATAAATCAACATAAAAATGTATCTTTTCTTCGAAATGCTTTAGAAGTCATTAATTCAAGTTTATAATTATGAGAACATTCCCTGTAATAAATTTAAATTAAAAGATATGGATTGACAGAAGATTATGAGAACTGATATAAGATTACTCTGATGAAATGGAGAGTACTCCACATTATTCGGCAGGCACAAAGCTGTCCATTTTTTTGCCTGAAAATTGCAGTAGCAAGAGAGTAATATTTTTTCTGAATTAACATAAAAAGTAATCAAATGAGAATATGTTCATTTGAAGGTTGTTTGCTGAATATAAGACTTTTATGTGATGAAAGTAATGCATGTATAAATATAAGTGGTATGCTTAGCAAATGGTTCAGCATTGACCGGGGAGTAACAATATGTGGTTTCTCTCTCTGGTTATTTATAATAGGAATAATAATACAGGAATGTTTGGGGTAACAGTAGAAGTGTTAGTCGAGGATATGAATATAGGTATATGCAGATTACACTGCTTGTAGCTTAGAATCAAATTATTTGATGCCAATATTAGATAGACTATGATGCAATGACGGATATAATCTTAAAATACATGCATCAAAGGCCAAAGTGTTTGATAGGAAAATGGGAAAAACAAGTTACACATAAACGGAGAAGCAAATATATAAATTTCTGTATCTGTAAATTATTTATTAAGAAAGTGGAACGTGAATGGAAAAAAATTAGAATGTGGAAATGCTAATATGAAAGTAACAAGTTATTTTGTGTTTTGTTGGGAAAAATGAAACATAAAAGTAAGTTGGATTCATTATGCAAATGACATAAATTGAAACAAATGATCTGTTTTATGTCATTTGCACAACGACATCAGTCAAATGACATAAAACACGGTGGATGAATATTCTCCAATTAAACATTTATTTATCATAGACATCTTCCCCATTAGTCTATTAGCATGGCATTTCACTAGTAACTACTTCAACTTCATTTTTCAGTATGGCTTTTGTGGCCTGCCTCCTGCATGATTTCCCATGCTTGAATTAAATCTTAAGGAGAAGACTTAAGATGATCACTTTTCTCATTAGGCATTCTCAGACTGAGCAGCCTAAAAATCAGCGATGTTTGAAGTGGATGGAAAGATCACAGAAAAAATAGCCAAACTCACAAAGAGTAATATCCTTTGCCATCCGAAACAATAAGCTCAGAAATAGTAATATACATTTGAAAGAGATTCTCACCCACTCTGAGAATAAAGTAGAAAAACAGAACATCATTTTTTCTTTGGAATAAGACTTTTGAGAACCTGCAGGATGGATTTTTGGCACAGCAGTTACCAGAAATAAGGCAATCGCTTAAAATTACAAATAATAAAATCAACTCTATTTGGTTGATTTTATATTGTTTAAATAATCAATTCATGGGATTTGAAATCTAAACAATACTTCTAAACATCATTAAGTTCAGGAAGAAGAATCAGCTGTGACCAAGTGTACCTACATTAAAGATTGGAGATTTTTTTAACTGTTGACAGATGGACGGGTTGTTAGAAGATGTTTTACATTTAGCGCTTAGAGAAATAAAAATATTTGGGTATATAGAAGTTATATGTAAATTCTATTTTAAAAACTTTGTAAAAGAAAGAACACATCTTAATTAGTAGAAATAGTTAAGAGTTGGGTTTTTTTTTTAAAAAAAAATAGAAGCTGTGAATAAAATGAGAAAAACAATCTATTTGTATTTTACAACTGTCACATTTTCACTTGACAGAGGTAATTCTCTCTCCAGCAGGTAGGTTTCTTTCATTTCCTCTGTTCCTTTGCCTATGGCTGTGATTTCTTTTTTAATGGTCTAATCTTCCATTGTTTGCAGAAAGCAGCAATGGGATCCACAGAAAACAGTGCCAAAATGACATGCCTTGATGTTGTCATGCAAATGCCCCTGCAAGGGGCTTGCATCCTGGTGTCTATTGCAAGTATGTAAGCATTGTGTGATGGTGCTGTGCACATTCCACCATTTGCCCTCTTGAATCTCTCTCTGGAAGGCAGTAGAATAATTTTCTTGAAGATGTATGTTTTAGACAAACCAGGCCAAGAAAAGTGCATGGATGCAGTCACCAAGGCTTCAGCTTGATTTAACGGAGCAGTAAATTGTATTCAGTATTCTACATTGGCATTTTCTGCTTTTATTCTTGTTACTATTTTTAACAATATCTAATTTAAAAGAGAAAGAAGCAATCTTCTACAAATTAGCTTGCATCAAAGCATATCAACTGGATATCTCAGGCTCTAAACACCTTTCCTCTCATCCACAGCACTGACTGTGTATCACTCCCCAAAACTCAGAAGTAAATCCAAATAAAAAGCAAAATAGTTCAGAAGGCCTATCAGGGTCTCATATGCTTAGCAACCTTAAGTGGGTAAGAGAATATGATAATATAATCCAGAATATATACACTGTATTCCAAACTTTTATTTATAAATTCAAAGCAGGAAAACAATGAATAATTTTCTATATATAAAAGGTAGGAATGTGCTTTATTTGCAATAACAATGACCTACCTCAATAAAATAAAATAAAACAAAAAAGCCAGAGAAGCTTCTTGTGGACTCAGATGAAAATTGGAAATAACCAGATCTGAAGTTCTCAGGAAGGGGTGGAGAACAAATACCTGCACACAGTTGTAAATGGCAATATCCTTCCTCCTAGTTTAAAGCACCAAGTCCAAAATAATGCTAGCAGAACAATT